AAAATTGAATATATTAAATATAAATGAAGACATATTATCCATTAAGTGAAATTTTTCATTTTTCTTTTCTTGTTTGCCTTAATTTTTAATACCTTAACTTATAATTGAATTTAACCCTTACAATATTATTGATTTTAAATAGAAATGAAATGCATATAATGTTGCACCTCTATAGAAAAACTAATTATGTTCTTAGAATTTCAAAAATTTCAATATTTTTTAATATCGTATTTAAATATATTTTTACGATATTAAAAAAAAAATTATATATTGACATAGAATTGGTTAATCGAAATGAGACAGTATTCTTTCTACAAATGATAATTAAAATCTTCATTAAATAATGGTCGTGTAAGATCTAATTTAGAAATTTTTTTTACAATTGGAAATCATAAGAATTATCGTGAAACCAGCTCCAGCTATACCTCAAATTAAAGTAGGTTAAATTGTCCATTTTATACTGTCGTCATTGCTTAATTTTTACGATATTTTGTGTTGTGCAAGTACATGTAAGTGTAATAATATATTTCTGGCACAAGTTTTTTCGGCTAAGTTTTGTTAATTAATACATAACAATAATTGCAAAAATTATCTGCATTAATTATTGAATAATAAATTATTTAATTTTAATAGAAAACATTACTGTTACGCTAAACTTTGATAAATGATATATGACAAAGGTTTACGATAAAATTTTTTAATAAAAATTGCCACTGTAATTGAGCTTTTAAGTATTACAATATTGGCTGTTCATGAAGTAAAACAAAGTGAGCGAAAGGGTTAAAATATTATTCATATAACATTAAAAAAATTAATAAATTTCGAATCAAACTCATATGAAACAATTTAAATTCAAAAACAATCACTAGAATTTTGAAACAATTTTAAGTTATAAATTTATAAGAATTTTTGTATTTTACTTTTAAATTGATTTTTCAAAACTTTTAGATTTAATTTATTTGTACATTATTGGATTAATAGACGCCACCTTTAGAATTTGTAAATAATTAATTTAATTAATTTTGAACATTCGTAAATTTATGCGGTAATGGCAATAACTGTTTAATGAGTGTATAATCTTTTCTCATGTGCCATCGAACGTTTCATAATCCACATAGAATTTTAATAAGGTTATTTAAAACTAGAAAATAAGTTTCCATAATAGCCTGTTTAAGTAATCGTATAGTCTTAATTGGTCTGCCTAATCGCTCATAATTAGTCTGATCATTGAAGAGGTCTTACTTGTTAATTGACATATAATTTTATACTCTTAGTCTCTGCACAATATTTCATTTTATTATCGAATCTTTTAAAAGCTATTTGAATTATTATGTAAGTGAATATTTTCAATTCACGCATGTTTCTATATACATATTTTATTAATAAATTTAAAATCAAATGACCCTATTAATCGTGCAAACTGTTAAAGAATACAAAAAAAAAAGTAAATTGAAAGAAACTGATAAACTGATTTTAACAAATTATCACTAAAGTGTCAAGTTCAATGTTAACAAATAGCAAAATAATAGATTTTTACTCACTTCACTTATTTTTCGTTTTTTTTCGGCTAAAATATAAGAAGAAAATAATTTTAATATAATTTGTATATTTTTGTTTACAATTAAGTATACTCTGCACTCTCTTGATATTCTTTTTAATTTTAGATTTTTCTTATCTCTTATTTTCCTTGTCAACAAAAATTTTTAACTAATTAGAAACTAGAAAAAGATAAGAATAGAAAAATTTGTAATAATTATGAAAGAAATTTCACTAATTAATCTTGTATACAACTTTATAATTTGACTTGTTCAAGTATGTATATTAAGAGGGTTAGAGGCTTTATTAAAAGATATATAATTATTTAAAAGTGGTAAGAGATATAGCAGGAATAATATTAAATATTTTTGAAAACAAAAAAAAAATTCAAATAGTTTTGGACAATTATATGTATTACCCGAAACTATTTGTTCGGGCAATACATATAATTAATTGTTTCCATAATTCACAATCACAATGTTCGCGTTTAACATTATAATTCAATATATAATTCGCGTTTGACATAATTTACTTGTTCAAATATAATAATATCTCGATTTAAAGCAGCCCATTTTCAGCTACTAATTTAAGTCATCCATTTAGCTCAATACTCCTCACTTATATACGTTATAGAAAACTAAACTTTTGCACTACTAACATTTCTGATTAATTATGGCTGTTATTTTGCCATTAGTACTGCCATTCCATATTGAATTTTATTATTAAAGCAATATTTGGAACAAAAACTTCTAGTATTGTGTGTTTCACATTTTGAAACGCATATATTCTTAAAATTTTTTTCTAAACTAAACGGCAACACTACCATTAATTAAATAAAATTAAAACCAAAAATAAAGAGCACACTGTCATCATTTATATTTATTAATGTTCTAAATCAAATAATTTTAATTTCAAAACAAATAATGATTAAAGATAACATTTTAAGTAAACATTGTTAACATTAAAGAAATATTAATTTCAGTTTCAGTTATTAAAACAAAGAAAAAAAAATTTAACATTTGAAAAATATTTTTGGAATATTTGTTCTTTTATTAATAAAGTAACAAATGAACTTAATTTAATAAATAATAATTAAATTAATAAAGGAAAAGAAAATGTTTATTAATTCTATTGTATAAAATTTGTAATTTATGTTTTGTTTTGCAAGCATTTTTGATTTGTGTGATGTTTGGAATGTTAAATATGAAATTAGGAATACATACATAGTTGTTTTCGAAAATAATATAAAGTTTTTTTTTCAGTGTACATTGATTCGCTGAATTCTATTTACTGAATTCTATTTAAAACAATCGAATTTCATTCGTTTGGTTGTTAAAACTTTATTTATAAAAGCAAATCTCCAGGATATGGGCTGCGTGCAATTTACTGTGTCCTAGTGACTGCTCAGTTGTAAACAAAAGTTCGAAATTTGTAATGTTATTGTTCGGATTAATGGTAAAAATATTTTCTAGCTATAAAATAATAAGTTTTATAATCAAAATCAAAGTAAGTTTACTGTTGTTACTTCTAAGATTGTTCTTGATATATTTAGCCTTAAATTATAGTACCAAAATAAGAAACGTGGATGAATTCTTTATATCACAGTTAAAAAAATTTTGGAAATTTTAAGTAATATATTTAAAGACTTAAATTATTTAAAAATTAATTAATTAATATTAGCACATTTGTCTCATTAGTTTTGTAAATAATATTATTAATTAAAATTTTGAATTTTTTTTTTTCAAATTTGCTTATTAAATTTAATTAAAAATCAATATTACTTTATTATTGTGCGTATGTTTTAAAGGAATTTATACATTAATGCTTGAATAGCTCTCTAATGTTTATAACAACATTCACGTTCGATTTTCACTTACCATTCTTACCTTATACAACAACCTTATAGTTTTCGCACTATATGTTAGCGCACGTGTTTGTGCTAAAAAGAAACAAATTTAGTTTTGTAAACTCACGATAATTGAAAAAATTTAAGTATTTGCTCTTAGTAGTAGTTTCTTTTGCAGTTAATTATTTCTAATTAAAATAAATTAACAAAATTTTATCCACACTTATGACGTTATTCCTATGAAATACAAATGTATAAATACTCAATCTTGCTCTATCTGGTCATTCTAATTAATTAAAATTAAAATTTCTTGGCCATTAATTACTGTTTTTTTTTTCTCTATTATTTGATAAATTCTGTTTTCTATACTTTTAAGCTTACCTTAAAGGCGCTAATATAATTAATTATTGTGTATTAGAGATAAGTAATTTATTAAGAAAAAGCTTCAGACCAGGTTCAAATATTTTCAACATTTTTTTGCTAGATTTTTCAATCTGTTGCGGGAATTTCTTAAAATTTTTTTAGATTTCTACTTGCGCAATTATTATTCGACGATCAAAGTTTAAAAATTTTTCCGAAAGTAAATAATTTTTTGTTTTGTCTTTCAAATTAATTTTGACTAATTGGTATGTTAATTTTTATACACTAATTTTTTTAAATTGATTATTAATGATTTTAAGTAATATTTCTTAATCAATCAATCATTAGAGACTTGTTTTGTATTTATTTTGGCAGTTTAGTTCTCTGTGATAGCTTTCATTTTATTCGAACACAAAAAATTACTGTGTTACCTTATAACATTTATTTTGCGGTTCTTGTAAGAAGACAATTTAAAAACATTAGTATTTCTTAAGTATATTATTAATTAAATTCTTAGATATTTACATTGATTAATTAGAAAACAATTGAAATACAATATAATCATAGATTTTATTGTGATAAATGTAACTAAAAATTGTTGAAATAAGCTCTATAGAAATGCTAAGGTTCCAAAGAAATTTTATCAAATTTTATTAATGTAATATAAGCTATTCAATTAAAATTTCTTGTATAAATAATTACATATTTAGAATTATATTACAATTTTAATGTAACTAATATTCTTAATGAAGTGATCGAAAATTATATCACATTGTAACCACATTAAATCAGATATTTTTACAACCACAAATGGTATAGAATCATAGATTTCTTTACAATCGCACTAAGTAACTGCGCACATATTTAGAAATTTAGAATCAATAACCGCTGTCAACTGTAATATTATAATATAATCTCTATATTTTAGTGTTCCATTTGATTTCCGAGATATACAATTCTAATTTGAAGTAATATTACACTCGCCTATGTTTATTTCACGCCACCATTATAACAACTATTATAAAATCATGAATTTTATTATTAGTGGAACGCTGTATAGTAATAACTGAAGTTCATTAGTAGTAATAACCGTATACAAATATGAAAATTGTTAAAAAATTATCACTAAAATGGGAAATTTGAAATTATACTTAAATTGTGTTTATGGTAATAGCAAAAAATAAATCTTATATATTTAAACATTATTGTACATTTATTATTAAAATTATAATTATATATATATATATATATATATATATATATTTTTATTACTAGGTCTATGTTTAAATTTTAGTATACATAATGTTTGTATTTTAATATTCAATACATCTTTTTCGTTTTGTAGTTTAAATTTTAATTATTTTCGTTTATTCTAACACAATATTTGAAACAACATTGTATAATCTATATGTGTTTGAATTGTTAATTAGCACAACAACATCAACAGCAACAATAAATTAATATTTTTATATAAATATTGTAAATAGTATATACAATACTTTGTAAATTTATAAATACAAAGTATTGTATAAATTATAAAAAAAAAAAATTTCTTTTTTTGATGGAGATATGATAAAAGGCATATAGGCACATCACTCAGCTTGCAGCTTTAAAAAGTAATTAATTTATTCTTCTTTCATATCTTCTGGTACCATCCAATATTCTTGATCTTTATCATGTTCTTTTGTTTCAAGATTTCTAAATAATTTTGATTTTAATATTAAACCAGTTATAAGACCACCAATTGCACCAGAAATAACAGTAACAAGAATACCGATTGCTTGATAACCAGCTTGTTGTAATGCTGTTCTACGTAAACCACCAACAAACATAATCGGTTCATCAGATGTATCACCCATTGCTGGGAATATTACTTTTAAACTATCTTTATAATTATTTTGTGTTGCTAGTGCTGCATATAATATTGAAAATAATGCTGATAAAATACCAGGCATACCATGTAAATTATTAACACCACATGTATCTTGTAAACCAATTTTTGATTCCAAAAATGGTGATATAAATCTATAACCAATAACAGATAATACACCAGCTGTAATACCAATTAATACAGCACCATGTGGTCCAATTAATAAATTACAAACAGAACCGACAGCAACACCACCAGCTAATGTTGAATTTTGTATATGTACCATATCAAATTTTTTCTCTTCACTTAATAATGCTGATAAAGCAAATGTTGTTAAAGATGCAGCACTTAATGATAGGAATGTATTAATAGCAGCACGTTCACGATCAGCACCACTTGCTAATACTGAATTAAAACTTGGCCAATATATCCATAATATTAATGAACCGAGTATTGCAAATAAATCTGATATATATGTTGATGGTTCATCATGTACAACAGCACCAGCTGTTACTTCATTATTTTTTGTTGAAGATTTTTTACGTAATGCTATACTTGCTGCTAAACCAAAATATGCACCAAATGCATGTACTGTTATTGAACCACCAAGATCACATATACCAAATATATCAAGTTGTATCCATTCATTTAATACATATAATGCTGTTTCAATAATTGCCATTACAGCTAATTGTATTGGTGTTGTACGACCCAATAATACTCCCATACTAATTAATGGTACAGCTGCAGCAATATTTGCTTCAATAACATCACCCAAATTAATTCTCATTATACCATTATCCAATCTATGACAATTTTTTAATATCATTGATAATTGACCAACAATAACAGCAACTAATAATGTATAACCAGTTGCACTATAACCATATTTTTTTAAAAATGTCATTAAAAATGCAAAACCTAAAAATATCATTGCTTGTACATCTTGAAATTGACTATAACCGTATGCACTGAGACGATCATCATTTGTTAATTTTGTTATATTCGCTTTAACTGGTAATAATTTACGATCATAATCAACCCAAAGCCAATAAACTAATAAAAATACAAATTGTACAATTAAAAGGAATATTATTCCTAAATTATTTGAAGCTGAATTATGCATTTTTGTTTTTCTAAAACACTATGTTAATTTTACATTAAAATTTTTAATATTTTTCGGGTTGTTGGTTTTTTTTTTTTAATAATTAACTTAGTATTGTTATTGTAACCGAACCGTACTAGACCTTTACTGTAGAACGACTAATCTAATTTTGAAGAAATTATTTTCAAAAAATAAAAACTTATTTTGCCCCCTTTTTTATAAAATATATTTTTAAAATAGAACTTTGTTAATAATATAAAAGCTACTAATTTCAACTTATACTTTAATGCCAACAACAAAACATAAGAGTATTAAAAATTAATATCAGTGATTCTCAAATATTTTCTCTGATTTTTATTTTATTTTGTTTTCGTGTTTATTTTTTATTGTTTTTTTGCTCCCTTCGATTAATATGTAATCAAATATAATTTTAATATCTTTAAACACATGTTAAAAGCTTAAAATTCTACGAGTATCTCTAAATTTAATTGAATAATTTTTTTTTTTTTGAATATTATTTCTCAATTTAGATACAGCACTCATTTTTATTAGATACTTGATATAAAATTTTAATTTAATATCTAATAAATGGCTATCTAGCTAGCTTGTGTAATATTATAAGAATGATCAAATGCTTTAACCTTGAATGAAAGTATAGTCCAGCTAAATCATCAGATTTTTTCTTATCTTAATAAAATGGAATTTTCTTTTTCATAATTTTCAAGTATATTCCAATATAACGTATGTGTACGTATAATAATATGTTGCCAGATTTTAAGGTTGTATTATGATACTTTTGTATGTAAATGTTCGAGGTCAAGAAGATATTTTCTTTTAAGCGTTCTATACATCTGTTTTTGCAATTAAAATCTATTATATAAATTTTTTTTTTTTAATACGATAGTAGGTAATAAATTTTTTTTTTGTTTTGTTTAATAATTTTAAACTCGCAAATAAAAAAATAATCAATTGAAAATATTGAATATTTCCAAGAAAATTTTTTATTATTGAACAAATATCAAATGAAAAATTGATAATAAAAGCGAGCGAGTTATTAATGGTCCCATAAGAATGGTTCCAATAGTGAGTGGTTGTCATTATATACAGTTATCATCGGTAATGCACAAAAACAGCAAAAAGCAGTGCGAAATTGCAATTGCAGGAAATTCAAAAATTAAACTGAATTGTGTATTTCCCGGGTATATTGCTATAATTCCGATGTCAGGGGCATGAATTTCGCCATTCCTATCATTCCAATATAATATTATTATTAAAGTTCTTTTCAAATTTCAAGAAGGCATTTTCAAATTTATTTAAGCCATGATATAATTTATATAATAATATATAATTTTTAAATTGAGCCCTTACAAAGCAACACATAATATAGAAAAATGTTCATACGAACCTTAAATTTTTGCTGGTATATCGTATGAAATTTACATTTTTATAAATGGTAAAGCTTCAAATTTCGCATGTTTCTGAAATGTTGGCTTCAAACCAATTTTGTGTTATATGATTAATGCTTGATTATAATTTATTGTTACCAAATAGTCAAATATTCATTGAGTTAATTTAAGGTTTAAGAAAATATAATTTGTGCAAAGAAAACAAACTGTCAATGTCAAACGAAAATTGACATAATTTTTGAATTGAAATCAAAATTCGCATTTCTGGTCTTTGAAACAATAAAATTTTTTGATGATAAAGTTGTTGATAGTGAAATTTACTGTCGTGTTAAAGCCAATGGAGCCTCATGAAGGTAGCGTTATTGATAGTGCAATGTACTGGTCTGATAAAGCAGCTTTTGCTATGATTGACTATTTGCAAATGTATTTTGGAAAAAACCACGCTATATGAAATTTTAAAATGATTTTTTTTTGTTTTAATTTTTCACTTATTTTTTCCTAAATGTTTATGAAACCGATGTGTGAATATCTATATACTAAATAACACGAAAGCTAATAACATTTTTTAGCTAATAACTTTAAAATTTTAATTACGCAATTTAATTTTTATGTATTTTCTTTTTTTTTATTTGTTTTTGTTAAAATATTTTAATTTTTTTTTTCAAAAAGAAATTTTCAATTTGTCTGACTTCATTTAATTGAGTTTTTATGCTAATATATTTTCATAAATTTCAAATAAATTTGTGTAATTTTTTTTTGAAGAGCATAAAATTATTTTAGTCTATCAGAAATTGATAAAATTCTTCAGATTCGTATATTATTTTAAAATTTTATGCTTAACATATGCACATTTTCTTAATTTCTCTTTTTTTTTTGGTGTTTCTGGAACAAAAAAATTGCATATTAAGTTGCGAAGGTCGCGCCATATTCATTAATTAAAATTCGTAAGATTCAGTCGAAAAAAAAAAACAAACTGAATTAATTTTGGTTTTACAGATAAATATTAATATGTTTTTAAGCAAAGTATTGTTTAAAAAAATTGCGGTCATGTTTAATAATTGAATTAGGGTAATAAATTTTGCAGCTTTTTTTTCCCATAGTCGTATAAATTTTCAATTTTATTATATAATATGCTTGTATTTGCAGATAAATTTAAAATAAGCTGTTTTGCAAATGACATTTACAATAAAATTTAAGATTCTAATCGAATATTCCTTCAGCAGTTCTCAAATTTTAGAGAACTTATGCGGGATAGTCAAGTGGCTATCGAAAGAGCAATTTTTTTTTTCAAATTCAATTTACAAGCTACAATATTTGTAACAATTTTACAACCTTAAGGGTTTTTACAAAATTAGTGGTAAATTAGTGGTAAATAAGTAATATTAGTAATAATTTGATTTTATCGCTTACTTGTATTGACCGGATTTTACCGATTTTTTGAATCTTATTCATATTGTTAATTGTTAAAGTTGTACAAAGTTGTACGGAAGAGACTTCAAATCTGAAAAAAATGAGAATTTTTATAGTTTTTGTTTTTTGATTTAATAGATTCGATGTTGACGATTGATCTGATAATTACCCCTGTCTTTAAAAATATTACAGTAATACTACGTAAACTATACTAAGTAGTACAAAATTCAGCTTGAGCTCTTGATTTTTAATTGCTCAACTGTTCTGTGATATCTTATTGGAATAATTTTGTGAGCAATTTAATCGTAAAGTGTGCCTGTTTTAAATAATTAAGTACACTTTTCAATTTAATAATAAAGATTTTCAATTATTGAACATTAATTTAGTTTCCATGCATTTAAAATATTTTGGAAACACTGAAATTTTAATCTTTTCTTGTATATGACAAATAAATTTTTTTTATCATTTTATTAGTAGCTCCTCTTTTTCTTTTTTATTTACCTACATACATATGTATATATATGTACATATTTTTTAATGCTACACAATTTTGATCTAAATAAAAATGTCCACACACAAAAAAAATTATAACATGCTTTATTTCAAGCTGTGTATTTTGCTCGCATATACAAATATAAAATATAATTTATTTTTTATTTATTTAAGGAATTATTTAAGTACACATATTCAAATACAATTTTAATAACAATCTAAGTTCAATATTATAAATTATATGATAATTTGATAGTTTGTAATTTCAATTGATTTCTTTTTCGAAATGAAATTCAATTACAACCTCATTTGATCCCCGATAATCTCTCAGCTCTCCAACTTCAAAAAAATTTAGGTGCACATATGTATGTAAATTTATTGAGGTAATTTTGTTGTTACATTGTTGCTTTAACTTTTCATAAGCCTGTAAACAATATCGTAAGTATACTATGTATACATATTAGGAATTACTTAGATTTTGTGTACATTCACAATTTCAAAAATAGAAATGGGCTATCAATCCAAACGATGATTTTATTTAAATGTTAAAATTTATTAAGGTATATTAAATGTAATATAATGTAAATAATATGGGGTTGCATTATATGGACATTGTATTTTTGTTTTTAAATTGCTGAGGTCAAGGTCATCAAATCAGGTTTTAAATATAATATTGTACATGACATTTTATGAATCTAGGTTCTAAGTATTGCAATATAGGTAGATAACTTAGCCTAAGCATAGTATAATTGTTATATTGTATAATATTCTATAGTCTATATACAGAGAATTTGATTTTAATTTTATTTTTGTATAAATTTACAAAAAATTGGTGTCACTATTGATTTCTTGTAAATATTAAATATTATCAATTACTTATGCCATTTATTTACTTTTAAGAGCTATGTTAATAATAAAATGAAAACAAATTATAAAAGTAAATACCCTGATTTGTTTAATTTGGTTTAATTAAATATTAATATTATTGATTAAATATTTAGAATTTGAAATAGAAACAAATTATAGTCAAATTTACATATGAGAACTAAATTAAATTGAGGAAGACAATAAACAAAAATAGTTATTGTTTTTACGAATTAATAATATCGGTGCTGTTTTGGTGGAAAAGTTTGTACGATATAGTGAAATCAAATTATTTACATTAACAATAATATTGATTCTTTGTAAATTTGTAATTAGGGCGCTTAAAAATTTTATTTTTATTATTTAAATTGTAATATTTGAATTATTTGAGTTTGCATCAATTGTTTGATATTATACTAATCTTGGGATTTAAGGTTACAGAAATATGCCTGAAAAATTAGTAGATATATCGATTTTTGAAAGAAGCTGATTATATTAGTTTATGCATTTTTCCTGTCAGCATATTATCTATTAAAGTGAAATTATCGAATTTGGTCAGTTTGAATCATTAAATGACGTGTGGAGCCCAATATATTCTTAATGTATATTTAATTTTTGTAAATAGCTACTATAGCCTTCAAGTAGCTATAATTTATATTTATTACTTAGGGTATTCTTTAACACTTTCATTCAAAATTTTCATAATAGGTAGGGGTAAGGTTTTAATATTGCCTATTAGTTGATTTTTCCTAATTTCGATTCATATTACAATTTTTTAATGTTGTACCTAACTATGAAAAAAATTTGATCCTATTCGTAATGGTTTTGATATGGACAAATTACAAGAGAAAAAATGTCCGTGTAACAAAAACAACTTTCAAATTTTGGTGGAACAGTTGATTGAGATAGTTTCGTCTAATTGTCGCTGCAATTATAATTTAGTATACAATTTTCTGATGTCAATGTGCTGAAATATAATTC